TCTTATATTATATTATATTAAATAATATGACAAATATAATAATAAATCATGAACTAATCTACTGACAAAAAAAATGGCAACGTGCTTCCGCGCTCTCAAGTAAAAATCGAATTAAGGTAACTTTTAGGAATCTCAATTTTATGGATGTCAAATGAATCTAGAATTTATATTTTATTTTAAAAAATATCTTGCTAATTTCATGTTTTCCTGAAAAGAGACTCTATTTCACAAAATTTATTTTGATAGATAAATTTTTATATAGAAAATTAAATTTTTGGAAATCTAAAATATAATTAGAATAATTTTAAAAATCAAGCAATATTACTAATCAATATGAGAATTAAACATAAACTATAGTATCTCCTAAATGGGTACTATTTGACGAGGACAAGTCTCCATTTGACCCATAGGATCACGCATTACTATTTTTCTCTCTCAAAGTCTGCTTGCCTTTTTAGGTGGAATAGTTCAAATCACTAACAAATAATTTTGGAAACTACAATTTTGGTATCCACCTAAAATTCACCAAATTAGCATTTCCTACAAAATTAAATGGTTAAATCTAATTGTTTAGAAACTCATAATCTATTTTCTCCAAGAAATATTGATTTGGTTATTTCTAGGTGGATTCCAAAATTTGTTAAGATACGGATATCTCGGGTTCATATTGATATACATCATTATGGATGTATATGTATATATAAGGTTAGGTATCTAAAAGATAGAGACCAAGTTACTTGGTTATCAAGTTATCATACCATAATTATCTCCTCTACTTGTGTAATTGTCCTCTATATATAGAGGAACTTATTGATGTAAAAAATTTATCCAAAATAGTGAAGATGTAGCAGGTTGGGGCTTTGGATCCGTGGATGTAAGGCTTCGGCCTGAACCACGTAAATATGTTGTGTTCTGTTCTATCTCCATTCTACCTCCATTCAATGTCTATGCATGTATGCTCCCATGAATTCTAACATGGTATTAGAGCAAGGAAGATTCGATCTCTATTGCTGCTCACTTATCGTCCTTTTGTGTTGTTACTCTCAAAAGATAGCTCTCTCCCAGTACCCGACCCACAGTTTCTCTCCCCCAAATATCCATGTTTCTCATGATTCTCTCCCGAGAGACGGCTCTCCCTCTCCTACCCGTGCTTTACACAATTTCTCTCTCTACAGGGGAACCCTCACTACTTGCCAGAGCTTGACAATACAACTTCTTAGTGATCGAAGCTTCTTTTTTGGTGATAAAGGAAGGAAGGAAGGAAGGCAACAATGGTAGATAACAGTTGGGATGTGGAGAAGACGACATCTACATCTATGACTATTTCATCAAAATAAACTTTCATGCTCAGCCAAACGGAAAGTGCCCACTGATCCTATTGCAATCGATGCTCCATATATCTTTAGTGCCTTGAACCCTATGAACCACGAATGCGTCGTTGGGCCCTCTGCCAAGATGTTTGATGAGAGGATGAGAAACCATTACCTTCCTGATCTTGCGTCCAGTTTGCATCTTGTTGATGCTGGCTTGCTACACATTCCCAATACTGCTAGTATGATGGTCCACGTGGTTGGCCTCCACAAAGAAGAAGAGATTTTGAAGAAAAATATTGGATACATTAGGGTCCCTCGAAGACATGAAAAGGCACCATACTTTGATTTGTTCCGCCTGCTTTGTGTCAAAGCATCTTGCGTTTGAGGGGGAGAGTTAAGATATGGATATCTCGTATATCTCGGGTTAATATTGATATCATTATGGATGTATATGTATATATCTCTCGATAAGATTAGATATCTAGAAGATAGAGACCAAGTTACTTAGTTATAAAGCTATCATACCATAATTATCTCCTCTACTTGTGTGATTGTCCTCTATATATAGAGGAACTTATTGATGTAAAACATTTATCCAAAATAGTGAAGATGTAGCCGGTTGGGGCTTTGGATCCGTGGACGTAAGGCTTCGGCCTGAACCACGTAAATATGTTGTATTATGTTCTATCTCCATTCAATGCCTATGCATGTATGCTTCCACGAATTCTAACAAAATTTAGATCCAAAAGTTCTTTCAAAAAATACCCTTTGGTTATTTAAAGTGCATCTATAAACTTCAGACCCAGAAGATATTCCTCAGTAGATAAAATATCTTGGGGGTAAGTGCACGATATAATTTGTACCCTTTTTTGCCCTCAGTCTAATATCATATTATATACTAAATTATATACTATGCTCCCATAGGTGCACAGTGTCCATTTTCTCCCTCAAGTGAAAAAGCCACTTCGGAAGATTTTTTCAGATCTAAAATTGTGGCAACATACAACAATCAGCAAATGATTATTTCATACATGATTTTATGTTCTTTAGTACTCAGATCTGACCACCCAAAAATTTGAACTGTATCTATTCCATCTACACTTTCTCTAACACTTATTTAATTGATCTTAACTTATTTTAAAAAATGACTATTTCTTACTTAAATCATTAAAATGGTTAATATTCAATATTGATAATCAGGATTAAGTTTTGGAAGTCACTCTCAACATTAAAATGATTAATAATGTATAATGATAAATGGTATTGAGTTTTGGTAGTCACCTTTACATAGAGTGCAGTTGCTTGCTTTGACTGTCACAAACTAGTGAGAATAGCATCTCATCACCATGTAATCAAATAGTCTCTTGATAGTTCATAAGAAATATCTTATTTCTCTCTAAAAGTAATAGAGAGAAATAGGTAATGGGATTGAGTTTTGGTACTTTGATCAAATATATCAAAAGTTTATTTTAGGAGGTTGATCCTTTATTGTTCAATATATTACTGATCATTAGACAATTACAAAACATGTATATTAGAGATACTTCCTCTCTAAATGTAAAACTTAAAAAGTTCCCTCTGAGAGAGAGAGAGTAATTAGAGGCTTAAATTTTACTTCTATTTTGACATATGGAGAAAAAAAAATCAAATATACTGTATATATGCAAGAAAAAATTATTATTGAATAGAGACCACACAATTTTTTGAAAAATTGTGATTTAGTGTCACCAAAGTTATACAGTGTCATAAACCAATCTGCTTATTCGCTTTTTTATATCAAATCTCCATTACTATGTTTCATTCTTTAATTGCCATATCTCGAACATTTTTTACATGGAGATTAACAAATAAATGCATATTCATTTACTTACCATAATAAATTCTTACACAGGCCACAAATTCTTTCAGACCCATGTGGAGCATGTGCCCCTCTGTGATAGAGGAAAAACAAAGCAGTAGAGATCAGGAAAACAAGCAGCAAGGAATGGAGGATTCAAGAAAGACAAAGCCCAGCCCAATGATGTGTAACGACTCAAAAATATAAGGTTGAAGCATAAGACAACGCATCAATTAGAGGAATATTGATAACAATTACAATAATGAGAGTCAACCATATGGGATGAATGTCATTCAAAACAGTTCAAAAATATAAACAAACAACTGCTAGAAATGAAATAAAGAACGTACAAGGATGTATGCAATAGGCAAAAAATTGTTTTAAAAACAGATCAGTGGGTTGAACCAGTCACCGAATGGTCCAAGTCGGCTAGGAACTGCCCAAGCCAGCTCGCCTATCTCTTTTTTTTCCATAAGAAAATTCAAAGAAAAGGGGAAAACTTGTGAGAAACAGGACAAAACTAGGGGTTTATGGACTGGGACCAGTGGCCCATAGGTTCCAAGCCAGGCTCATTTGCTGGTTCTTAAGACACTGGGTGTAAGGTTAAATATACCATACTATGACAGATTTGCAAAACCATAGCAATCAGGCCCACAATGCACAATGAAGCAATGGACAGTGATAGATAGAGTGCAGAACCTGAAATTGAATCCATGCCTTCGTCCCGGAGTCCCACTCTCTATCACCATCCAATATTTCATTGGACGATGATGACCCAACTGATTATGGCTTTTCATACTCCATTAGATTATATGATACTTCCCAAGGCATTCATTTTCATATAATCGAAATATAAGAAGCCTTTACCTTGCCCATTGTCCCGTAGGAACATTCTGTTACCCCGGCAACGTGAGGTGTGATGAGAACATTTGGAAACTTCAAAATTGGATCCTCGGGATCAAATGGCTCAGTCCATGCAACATCGAATGCCATGCCTCCAAGATGGCCAGATTCTAGGTGATATTTGACGGATTCATAGTCCAAGACACCTCCTCGAGCCACATTTACCAGTAGTGCCCCCTAAAAACCAAATATCAATTGTTAATCTTAGACTGGCAAAGAAATGTGCTTCGCATGTGTGCTACAGATCTTACTTTCTCCCCGCAATCTATCACCCCACCCCCCTCTCTTTCCCCCCTTGACCCCTTTTTCTCTTTCTTCACCCTGAAGAGATTCTTACGTTCACTTAAATTTACCACCTTTTCTCTCAGTCTACCCATTTCCATCAATGTCATTGAAATCATTACTCCAAATGTCTTCACCAACTCACTGATGCCTTGCAACATGTAGCCCAAACACCAGTGGCTTAATATGCCATGCCTAGATAGATATTCAGAAACTTTCCACAAAAAGAACACTAACCTTTCTCATAGAGGAGAGGAACTTGTGGTTCACAATTCCAGCCTGCAAATAAGGTATCCCAGAGGCTACATCAAAATACATAGAAACAAGCACAAAGCTAAAATACTTAGTCAAAGTAGAAATGATTCTAAGGGTAGCATTTAATGCTCCAATGAACTATGATATGATCATCGTCCATTGCATTCATAACAGTCCAGTTAATTGGAGGTACACCGATAGAGAGAGGATGGGAGACCTAACAGAAGAGGACATGAGCACTTCTCCAAGACCATCGATAGTTTCATTGGATGGTGATGACCCCATAGGGCTATGGTTTAACATAGTTCACTGGAATGTGGAATAATTTCCCTTGATTTTATAACATTTGAGTGGAATTAAATGTACAAGGAGATGAGAAAGTGACAAAGTGATTGATCAAAGCACAAAAAAAAGAGACGAGATGAGAGAGAGACCGTATCCTTGTTCAAACCTATGCAGGCAATAACAATATCTGCTTCTCGAGCAAAATCATATATGCTCCCCATGTCACCTTTCTTATCAACAAGAGCATCGTTGAACTTTTCATTCGCCTCCAGACCTGCAAATATATTACCTCAACCTATTGATTCATGAAGAGAATATAGCTGATGGACATTATCCCCATGGGAAATTATACTATAATCTGATGACTATGTAAAACCAGTGTTTTAAAAAACGCCAAGTCGAACCGGACTCGCCCGGTTCGACTCGGAAATCGTGAAAAGGGGACCGGATCGCCTAAAAAATTGGAAATCGTCCGGTTCTAGAGAGAACAGGACGATTCT